AAAAAAAAAAAAAAGAAAGAAAGACATGTAGACAGATAGACTAGAATTGAGAATTCAGAAAGAAATCTTTACATTTATGGTCAATTTTCAATAAGGATACCAGGACAATTCAACCAAGAAAGGATATTCTTTTCAACAAATGGTGCTAAAACAATAAAATAGCCACAAGGAAAAGAATAATTTTTATTTCTAAACTCCATGTACAAAAATGAACTCAAAACAGGCAAAACTAGAAGAGTCAGAATTATAAAACTCTTAGAAAAATATATAGGTATATAAATCTTTAAAACCTTGGATTAGGCAATAGTTTCAAAGCACAAGTAACAAAGAAAAACATACATAAACATCATAAAAATGAAAAAATTTTGTTTGTTTATTTTGCTTTGTTCTGTTTCTTGTTTTTTGTTTTTGAAACAGAATCTTGCTCTGTTGTCTGGGCTAGAATGCAGTGGTGTCATCATAGCTCAGTGTAACCTCAAACTCCTGGGTTCAGGTGATCCTCCCTACCTCAGCCTCCTGAATAGCAGGGACTACAAGCACATGCCACTACACTCAGCTAATTTTTTTAATTTTTATAGAAATAGAGTCTTGCTCTGTTGCTCAGGCTGGTCTCAAATTCCTGGCATGGAGTGATCCTCCCACCTCAGCCTCCCAAAGTGCTAGGATTACATGCATGAGCCACTATGCCCAGCCATCTTCTGTGTTTTAAAAAATACTATCAAAGAAGTAAAAATACAATCCACAAAATGGGAGGAAAATATTTGCAAATCATTTTGCAAGAGTCTAGTGTGTAGACTATATAAAGAATTCTTCAACTCATGAAAAGACAACTCCCACTTAAAAATAAGCAAAGGATTTAAATAGATATTTCTCCCAAGAAGATACACAAATGGCCAATAACCATATAAAAAGATGTTCAACAACAACTTGGCACCTGTGGCTCAAGTGGCTAAGACGCCAGCTACATACACCTGAGCTGGTGGGTTCGAATCCAGACTGGGCCTGCCAAACAACAATGATGGCTGCAACAAAAAATAGCCAGGTGTTGTGGCAGGCACCTGTAGTCCCACCTATTTGGGAGATGGAGGCAGGACAATCCCTTAAGCCCAGAAGTTAGAGGTTGCTGTGAGCTGTGATAGCACAGCACTCTACCCAGGGTGACAGCTTGAGGCTCTGTCTCAAAAAAAGGAAAAAAAAGATGTTCAACATCATTAGCTATTAAGGAAATACAATCAGAACTAAATAATTAAATGTCACCTCCATGAGAGTGGCTATAATAAATTTTTTTAGTGGAAATAACAAGAGTTGGTAAGGATATGGAGAAATTGAAATAGCTCTTGCTATGAAGCCATTGTGGAAAACCATTTGAAAAAAAAAAAAGCAGAGTTACCTTATGGCCAACATTTCCACTCCTAAGCATATTCCCAAGAGAATTGAATATATATTGCCATATAAAAACTTTTACAAATGATAGCCAAAAAGTGGAAACAACTAAAATAATCATCAAATGCAAATAAATAAATGAAAGGTGGTATATACATTTCATTGGAATATTCTTCAGCCATAGAAAGACTGGCATAATGCTACATACTACATCATAAATGAACCTTAAAAATATTATCCAGATATAAAAATTCACATATAGGATGATTCTATTTATATGCAATGTCCAGAATATGCAAATTGATAGAGACAGGAAGTAGATTAGTGGTAGCCAGGGGCTGGGGGTGTGGGTCATAGGGAGTGACTGCTAATTGGTTTGGGATTTCTTCTGGGAATGATGAAAATTTGTTCTGGAATTAGGTAGTGGTGATGGTTGTACAACTTTATGAACAAACTAAAACTCATTGAGTTGTGCACTTTAAAAGGTGAATTTTACAGCATATGAATTTTGATGAATGAATGAATGATATTTATGCCTTGGAGGGAAATTGCTGGGCCATATAGTCACAACTCTACATTTAATTTTTGAGGAACTGCCAAACTGTTTGCTAAAGTGAGGGTACCATTTTCCATTCCCACCAGCAATGTGTTAGGGTTCCAATTTTTCCCCATCCAAAGGTCTCCTAAAAAGTTAAGAGATACTAGAAGACAAATCTGCAACAAAGTCAGGGAGCAAGGGTAAAATGCTGAGGTTGTTTCTGTCTTAGGAGTACATATATGTGCTTGTTTGCAGGTTTCAGAGAAAATCCATAGATGGAAGCTTTGGTTCCAATGATGGTAAGAAAAATTCCTTGTTTCTATTCAAAATGATGTCAAATAGCACATCCATAACACTCCAGTTGGCGCTGCTTTTGTCTCTCTTTATTTTGCAATTTACAAACACTTCCTTGATTTGTGTCCCATAGAGTAATTTAATCTACAGTCTTCCTATGGAAAGCAGAGCTAGTGGGAACCAATTTCATTACTGATAATTATTGAGATGTGGAGCTCATGATGTCCATTGTAGTTATCCACAGACCATTTGTCAGCCATTCATCTTTTTTTTTTAAGTTTAATCATTTTTAGGACATAACTGTTCATCCTTATATTATCCCAAAGCTAATGTGTGAATAATGGTAATTTATTGCATCAACTCTAATACAGAATTTGCTTTCCCCAATCTGACACAGGCTTTTTTTTTTCATTCAAGTATCCAGAAAACTGAAATATTCGAGACTAGGGAGTGTAACAAAGAGGATAATAAGTTTGAGGAATCCAGAGTAATGTAATACCCAACCACTGTAATATTTCCTTTTCTCTGCTCTGAAAGTTTGAACAAAGGAATTCAGCTGCCCAATCTTTTTAACAAAATTTAAAAATGTGAATGCCCTCATTTTTGAAAACTCTAAATCAGCATGAGTAAATCAGTGCTTATAAGCTATTTGGCACAAAGGGAGAAACTGGAAAAGGAATGATGAAGTGCGACTTGATTTTCAAGTCGCATGTAGCAGATGTCTAGTTTTGTGTTTTCTGAACTTAAATGAGTCCACAAAATCTTAGAAAGATGCAAACTCACTCCCTGCCCCCACCCAGCAGGAACATTTCTCCTTTTGTTGGAGGGCTTGCTTTTTTTTTTTTTTTTACATTCAATTTCCTTAATGTCAGCATGTCTATTTTTCTAGCCACCCAGGCACTTTGTTTTAATAAACATTCAGCTGCCAATATAAAAGACTGTAAAAGAACACCTGCTTCCCAGACTCTAACATGTTAAGTGCTCCTTTCCCTTTTAGCCATTAAATGCTCAAAAGAATTTGTTCTCTCTGGATCGCATCTTTTTTCAACCGTGCTCTCAGATTTTATTATTACTTTAGGCCTAGTTACACTGAGGCCTGGACTCAATTGTCTCCTACTAGGTACACTCTAAATGGATGCTCTGCTATATTTTATTATATGCATGAAGTCATTTTATTATTGCAATACCACATATTCATTAAAGGAATTTCATGTTCAGAAGGGTTTCCTGAACATGCAAGCATAACTAAACAGAGCTGGGACTTAGGCCAGATCATGGTCCAGGATCAAGAAGCCTCTGAAAATTAGCTAAGAGCTAGACAGCACTCTTCAGTGGCAAGCAGCAATGAATGAGTGACCAAAAGGAGTAAAGCTGTGTCATTAAGATGCATGTGGCTGCAAGTAAAAACAACAATATAGTATATCTCAAATATGCTTGATCATTGAAGAGTCCTCTTATCCTCGGAAATTGAGCAAAAGGATGGACCTTGGGACTGATGGAATCCAGTGGCTCTTGTCCATTTCCCTGCTATTCTTTTGGCTCCAGTTTATTCCCTGGGCTGGAGCTGAGATGGGTGAAGGTTCACACCCTTACCTGGCAACTTCAGGGGGAAGCACTTTTTCCAGAGCCCCCAACAACTTACCCTTGTGTTTCATTGGCCTAGGGTGGATTATATACTAACTGTCAAACCGTTAACCCAAAGGAATAGATTTACCTGTACATCAAACAAACTTACTTTTATAATGAGGGGGGAGTTCTCTTTCTCTAAGACCAGGGTTTCTCAAACTCAACATTATTGAAATTATAGGCCAGATAATTCTTTGCTTCAGGGGACTATTCTGTACATTAAGGATTTTTAACAGCATCCTTTACCTCTACCCACTGGATTCTAGTAGTACATACACTTCCTGCTGATGACAGCTAAAAATACCTTCAGACATTGCCAAATGCCTGGCAAGGCTGTCCTCCTTCTGTTTGAGAACTACTGACCAACACAGCAGTGCCAGGCACAAGTGAGGATAAATGAACAAAATGCCATCTTTGTTAGGAAGTAGAAGATAGGAATGCTCAACACAAAGGGCTTTGAAATAGGAAGAAAATCAGGGAAATTTAGAGAGGCCACAGGGATAGATGACACCAACTCCAATGGTGACCACTAGTGAACCAACATCTGGATGCTTAAACTAAGAGCAGAAGATAAGCTCTACCCAAAGGAAGAACCAATTAGTAACTATTTAAAGCATTTCAGCCAAAGCACTGAGAAGTCAAACAGGAGCAAGATACAGAGGCAAGTAAGGACCATAACTGAAAGCTAATGTAAGACATTCACGGAGGAACTTTTGGAGAGGAGTGAGGCCACAGAAATGTTCTGGGTATCTATGTGCACAAGAAGTTCAATGGCCCTACCATGGGGGTTGTGTCCAGAGAAAATGCTAAGAACAGTTTTGAAAAGGGGAAGTGATTCCACTGGACTTCACATGTTTGCCCACATCATTGTGGAGCTAGACTTCAAAAGAACGTGTCCTAATTCTTTCTCCTTAGGTATGAGGTGGGGGACAGGAGCCAGGTCCTATAAGTTTCCTGGTTGGTATCAGCTCTGTTTTAGTTAGGTAGTGATAGGAAGGCTGCCCTCCGAGAATCTGGAGGTTACTCTGCATTTGTTTTTCTTTAATGAGCCTGCTGTTCCTTAATTAAGTTGTTTTTGAAAAATGTCAATGTTGGCTCCAACTATACTAAAAAGCAAAGGCATTTTTTTCCATACTTTATGGGATAAAGAAGGACAGAAGACCCTGGAGGCTGGATAAGAGAGAAATGAAAGGGGAACTTTTTTACTGTGGATTGGATAACTGGACACTGCACTCTCCAACCATCACTTAATATTCAAGATGGGGCCTCTGGGAGAACGTGAGGCTACTGAGAAAGACCCTGCTCTGAAAACATTTCTTCCTTTGGCTCTATCAGCAGAGAAACCTTACATTTCATATCAGTTTTAAAGAGCCTCTACAGAAATTCAGTTACCAACTGGGAAGAAATACTAATGAAGCCTCGCCCACAGGCCTATGGGACCACATGGGCTGCCACCATGAACCTGGGCACAGCATAAAGAGGAGATATCTTCCCCAAGGGACACAGCTTGACAAGCTTGATGAGGTTGCAGAAGAACCAATGGCCAACCCAATACTTAGCCTCTTAGCCTCTCAGCAAAGAGCAGGGTGCAGTGAGGAGAAGATAAGGAGTATGTTGACTTTGGAGGACACAAGAAACACAGCCCAGAGGCAGACTCTGTGGAAAGGGGTCTCAGTTCTCATCTTGGCTTTCCAATCTTCTTTTTCCAAATTTCCTTGACTTCTCTTGCCCAGTTTTTTTGTTTGTTTATTTGTTTGTCTGTATGTTTCACATTCATCTACAAAAATGAATGATCTTCTTCACCTTCTCCTCAACTTTTGAAACAAAGCATGCAACTAGTTGGGTTCAGTAGCCAACTGGCATCAAAATACGATTTCATGGCACCAGTTCACATACATCATTTCTGACTCTCTCTTCAGCTCCCAACCCCCTGAGTCTTCAGAAACACAACAGGGCAGGGACAACTGTAACTGCAAAGTCCCTAAAAGATCCAAGCAGGCTAAAATGAGATGAAAATGTTCTCCTCACATGTAAGAGAAAAAGCAAGCATGCAAGCATATCCTGTTCTATGTTAGTGAAGTGGACAGATGGCAAGGGGCTCATGCTCAGAGAAAAACACACCAAAACAAGTTTCCTTATTAAGATAGGATCATTCACAATCTTGTATGTCTGCTATTCCCAGCCAGAACATCTCAATCTGTCCTATAAACTGATAGCTTCTGTTTAATTCTGCTTTCTAAATACTATCCTGTTAAATAAAGATAGGGTTTGCCTTCCGAGATCATACTTGAAGGTTGGAAGGAAATGCTTTGGGTTTTGCCTTCTTAAAAGGCCTGAGACATAAGCATAACTAACAGAATATTGTTATCCCATGTTGGCCCATCTCATATTTAAATTGAGCCTATGAAATCCTACAGAGTTAAAACATTTTGGGGTATTGCACATGAAAGTCTTGGTGCTCCTAACAATCACAGAACCCATGATGTTTCAGTTACCCCAAAGTCAACAGAGCCAGCAGCGACACCCAAACCAGATCATGCTCAATTATGAGCCAGAACAGAGCACAGAAGTTAGTGATTCAACTAGTCTGAACAGACCTACACAGCTGGCTTTTTGTTTTTAACGAAGTTGTCACCTAACAAAACAGTGATTGTTTTTGTTCATCCGCTTGCTTTGATTTTAGCTTTTGCTTTTGTTTTTCTTTTGATTACACATACATGAAACATTGGCTCCCATGAACCAGTTCAATGACCTCCCACCACAACTGAACTGAAACGTTGTCCCCCACACACTTCTTCCCATAGCAGGGGGCTTCCTGTAACACCAGAATGCCAAACACTCTGGGTTTTATGATTTAGTGGCAGTCTTCATTTTCTATTTACATGTTTAATAATTTTTTAAATTGCATTTTAGACAAAAGGCTTAGGCTAATGGTTATAAATATGGAGCTTAAGCTTAAAAAGAGAAAAATGTGAAAAATACCAAGGGAAATGTAAAAGACATCCCTTAGGAATGGGACCAATGCAGGGGTTACCTGAGAATCCACAATGGACTAAACAAAAAGAAGATGCCACATGACCCTAGCTTGATAGAAAATCGTGAGCAAACAGCCAATCTAAAAATCAAAAGTTGTGCTTACTCTTCAAAAATATGAGTTTATTGGGCAGCAACTGTGGCTCAGTGAGTAGGGTGCTGGCCCCATATACCAAGGGTGGCAGGTTCAAACCCAACCCTGGCCAAACTGCAACAAAAAGATAGCCGGGCATTATGGCAGGAGCCTGTAGTCCCAGCTACTCAGGAGGCTGAGGCAGAAGAATTGCCTAAGCCCAGTAGTTGGAGGTTGCTCTGAGTAGTGTACTGTACTCAGTACACGGCACTG